AGGTGGATCACCTAAGGACAGGAGTTCGAGACCAGCCTGGCCAACATGGTGAAACCCTGTCTCTACTGAAAATACAAAAATTACCTGTATGTGGTGGCACGTGTTTGTAGTCCCAGCTACTCAGGAGGCTGAGACAGGGGAATTGCTTAAACCTGAGAGGCAGAGGCTATAGTGAGCCATGATCACGCCACTGCACTCCAGCCTGGGTGACAGAGAGGGAGACTCCGTTTCAAAAAACAAAAACAAAAACAAAAAAACTTTAGAGTCCCAAAATGAGGGCCTAAATCCTCACTTTGGAGACCTCCCAAAGCCAGGCACAGCAGCTCATCTCTGTAATCCTAGCACTTTGGGATGCCAAGGTGGGAGGATCGCTTGATCTCAGGAGTTTGAGACCAGCCTGGCAATAGGGCAAAACTCCACTTCTACCAAAAAAACAAAAAAATTACCTGGGCTTAGTGGCATATGCTTGTAGGCCCAGCTACTTGGGAGGCTGAGGTGGGAGGACTGTTTTGAGCCCAGGAGGTCAAGGCTGCAGTGAGCTAAAATCACAACCACTGCACTCCAGCCTGGGTGACAAAGTGAGACCTTGTCTCAAAAACAAACAAACAAAAGGAGCCCTTCCAAACCTACAAACCCTAAATTCTAATACTGAGATACCCCAGACCCCCCAAACTGTCAACTTCTGACCTCCAAATATGACCCTAATACTAAGATTACAGACCACAAGCGATACCACTACGAACCCATATCCTAAAATAAGAAATCGAAGCCCCGGCCGGGCGCGGTGGCTCAAGCCTGTAATCCCAGCACTTTGGGAGGCCAAGGCAAGTGGATCACGAGGTCGAGAGATCGAGACCATCCTGGTCAACATGGTGAAACCCCGTCTCTACTAAAAATATAAAAAATTAGCTGGGCGTGGTGGCACGTGCCTGTAATCCCAGCTACTCAGGAGGCTGAGGCAGGAGAATTGCCTGAACTCAGGAGGCGGAGGTTGCAGTGAGCCGAGATCGCGCCATTGCACTCCAGCCTCGGTAACAACAGCGAAACTCCGTCTCAGAAAAAAAAAAAAAAAAAAAGAAAAGAAAAGAAAAGAAAAAACGAAATCCAGGCCCCTACAAAGTAAACCTCATTCCCCCAAATTGACCTCTAAATCCCCAGACTGTCCCTCAAATTGTGACCCCTACTCTAAAACTGAGATCTCGAATGTGAGTACTACTCTGAGAACCCAGACCCTAAAACTGGAGCTCCCATACTCAAATGTGGGGACTCCAGGCCCTAAAACGTCCTTCTCAAAGACCGGAACTGCAACTCTAGACCCTGCCTTGGGGATTTAGGCCCTAAATCTATACTAAGGCTTCAATTGCCCCAAATCAGGCTCCAGACTCTCAAAATGCTATATCATAACTCAGAACTAAGACTTCCAGATCTCCAAATTGGGATCTCTGGATTCCAAGGAGAAAATTCCCAATCACAAAACCCAAGCCCTTCAGATTCCAGAACTAGTCACCCCTAGACACAAATCCCGAGATCCCAGATCGAACTCGAGAGCCCAGATCCCCAATACAGTCTTCCGTTGCCCAAACTCCAGCCTCCATACCCGGCTTCAAACCCAAACTCCTCGAACCGTGGCCTTACACCCAGAGCATGTTCTGTTCCCCTGAGCTCCGCCCGAGGTAGGCTTCTGTGGGGATCCCGGGTTCCCCTAAGCCCAGCTAGTTCCAGGGGTCGCCCCTGCCCCATTCCCCATTCCCCTCGGCAACCAGCACCCGCCTCAGGGCGTGCAAAATGGCGTGAGGCTGCCGACCCTTCTGGTTTCTCCGGGGCCCACTCTCGGATGCCCGATCAGACAGCGTCTCAGGCGGGGCCCGGGAAGCCGACCGCGCGCGGGCGCGCGAGGGTTCCAGCCGGTCTCGGAAACACCGCGTTCCCAGCCCGGACTTGGGGGGTTGGGTGCGAATCTTCCCAGTGCGAGGATCCAGCGCGAGGCGTGAGGAGTGAGGAGCAGAGCAAGAGTGAGTTCCCAAGGCCAGGCCACGCCCCCACCGGTTCTAGACACGGTGTGCTGGGCACGAGACGACGGGGTTGAAAGGGCAGGATGCAAATGGCCGTGCGCACGCGCGCCTCGGGAAGGGCCCTGTCGTCTTGCACAGTGTGAGCTCGGTCTAGAGCCTTCAGACGAGGCCTTCGCTGGCGCGCGCCACCAGGCAGACCAATCAGCGCCTGCTCAGCCACCCGCCTTTTTAGGCGCCACGCCCCTGCACGACCCAGTGGTCCAGGGCCCTTGCATCCCAAGGAGGCTGGGTTTCCCCAAATGCCAACTCTCAGGAAGAGAGAAAGAGAGCTCGCCTGTGTCCCTTCTGGCCCTTTGGTACCCCATTTCCATCTTTTCCCTTCACTGCATGTTTCATGAGGGCCTCCTGTGTGCCAAGCACCAGGCTGGATGGTGGGAACTTAGCCACTGTCTTCCTAGTGCAATCGAGAATACCATAAGAACACCAGCCGTGCGCGGTGGCTCAAGCCTGTAATCCCAGCACTTTGGGAGGCCGAGGCGGGTGGATCACGAGGTTGAGAGATCGAGACCATCCTGGTCAACAAGGTGAAACCCCGTCTCTACTAAAAATACAGAAAATTAGCTGGGCGTGGTTGTGCGTGCCTGTAATCCCAGCTACTCAGGAGGCTGCGGCAGGAGAATTGCCTGAACCCAGGAGGCGGAGGTTGCCGTGAGCCGAGATCACGCCATTGCACTCCAGCCTGGGTAACAAGAGCGAAACTCCGTCTCAAAAAAAAAAAAAAAAAAAGAACACCTGAGACCATGAGAATCTAGTGAGATGGAGAGCTCGGTTAATGCAGAGAACAATACGGTGGGAAAGGATTCAAAGAAGAGGGCCATTTGAACTGGGCCTTCTTGGGAGACCGAGGCAGGGGGATCACCTGAGGTCAGGAGTTCAAGACCAGCCTGGACAACAATGTCGAAATCCCATCTCTGCTAAAAATCCAAAAATTATCCGGGCGTGGTGGCACATACCTGTAGTCCCATCTACTCAGGGGGCTGAGGCAAGAGAATCACTTGAACCTGGGAAGCAGAGGTTGAATGAGCCAGGATTGTGCCCCTGCACTCCAGCCTGGGCGACAGAATGAGACTCTGTCTCAAAAAGAAAAAGAGGCTGGGAGCAGTGGCTCACGCCTGTAATCCCAACACTTTGGAAGGCCAGGGCGGGAGGATCACCTGAGGTCGGAAGTTTCAGACCAGCCTGACCAACATAGAGAAACCCAATCTCTACTAAATATACCAAAAAAAAAGTTAGCCAGGCGTCATGGCATATGCCTACAATCCCAGCTACTTGGAAGGCTGAGGCAGGATAATCACTTAAAGGTGGCAGGTGAAGGTTGCCTGAGCTGAGATCTGCCATTGCACTCCAGACTGGGCAACAAGAGCAATACTCCGTTTTGGTTTTTTTTTCTTTTGAAACAAGCTCTGTCACCCAGTCCTACAATCACAGTTCATTGCAGTCTCCACTTCCAGAGGTTCACCCATCCTCCCACCTCAGCCTGCCCAGTAGTTGGGATTACAGGTATACACTACAATGCCTGTTTTGTTTGTTTGTTTTTGTTTTTTTTGTAAAGATGAGGGTCTTACTTTGTCGCCCAGGCTGGTCTTGAACTCCTGGACTAAAGCCATTCTCCCGGCTGAGATCATAAGCATGAGCCACTTCACCCAGTCTGGAAAATACATCTTAAGGGGAGGTGATCTAAAGATCTAGTCAAGAGTAGAAGGCCTGGAATCCGATACATTTCAGTTCAAATCATTTTCTTCGCTGTGTTGCCAGCGACAAGAGGCTTAATATCCTTTTGCCTTATAAATTCGGGATGGTAATTCTTACTAGGATTGTCTGCAGGGTGTCTGGCATATAGTTCCGATGCAATAAATATTTACTGAACACATATTCACGCTGTTCTAGGTGCTTGAACAAGGTACACAAAGATCTCTGCCCTTGTGGAGCTGCTGCTTTATTTATTTATTTATTTATTTATTTAATTTTTTTTTTTTTTTTTTTTTTTTTTTTGAGACGGGGTTTCGCTCTTGTTACCCAGGCTGGAGTGTAATGGCACGATCTCGGCTCACCGCAACCTCCGCCCCCTGGGTTCAAGCAATTCTCCTGCCTCAGCCTCCCTAGTAGCTGGGACTACAGGCATGCGCCACCATGCCCAGCTAATTTTTGTATTTTTAGTAGAGACGGGGTTTCACCATGTTGACCAGGATGGTCGCGATCTCTTGACCTCGTGATCCACCCGCCTCGGCCTCCCAAAGTGCTGGGATTACAGGCTTGAGCCACTGCGCCCGGCCTATTTTTTTAATTTTAAGAGACAGCAGGGTCTCACTCTGTCGCCCAGGCTGAACTGCATGGAAGCGGTGGTGCAACCCTAGCTCACTGCCTGGAACTCCTGGGCTCGAGCGATGTGGAGCTGCTATCCTATGATGTGGACTAACTTGTGGAGCTGCTATCCTATGATGTGGACTAACTCCTAATGCATGGGACTTTCCTTCCTCCTAAGGCTTAATTTTCTCATATGTGAATCAGGAGGTAAGAAGGGAGGGGATGGATGAGAAGGAGTTTGGAAAAGTACAAGAAGCTGTTAACTATTGTGTTGATCTGCTCAAATGAATCAATAAATTTGCTCTTCCCCAACTCTCCACCCCTCATCATCGCCCTGTTGCTATGTTCTCAATTTCCTTCCAAAGGGCCCCGGGCAAAAATGGAGCCCTCCTGGCTAGACTCCATCTCCCAGCGCGCCCCGCGGGGAAGCGCCCTGCGCTTGCGCTGCCAAGTCCTCCCCGGCTTTGTCTCCCGGGAGTTCGAGTCGTTTTTTTCCTCCGCCCGCCTATTTTGCTTCCCACCCCACCGCCAAGTTTGACCGTGCTGCCTTCTGGGAGATGTAGTCCGTGGCTGCCCGGACTTCAATTCCCAGCGGGCTTCGGGACGAGAACCCGGAAGGGGAGGCTGGAGAGGAGCGAGTGGGGGAAACCCGCGTAGCCGAGGGAGATGCAGCGCGCGGCGATGGTGAGAGCCCAGGCATGGGTCGGGGGCGCTGGAGAGTCGGGACGGGGGTTCGGGACCAGGTGACGAGGGGAAAGAGGCAGGAGCGAAAGAAGGGGCTGGGCGAGGGGAGATTGCCTGGGGAAGGGGATTGGGAGGAATGAGAGACGGAGATAGTAGTCGAAGAATGGTGGCTTGGGGAGGGGTCTTGGAGGTGGGATGGGAGTGGAGCTTTGGAATTGATTGTAAAGGGGCTCAGAGCTGGGGAAGTGGGCCCCGAGTTGGAGACTGGACTGGACGTCCAGGTAGAGGCCCTGAAGGGGTCAATTTCGAGGGGGCTTAACCTGTGGCTAGGGCATGAGGGTCAGGGTTAGGATGAGTGAGGGGATGTGGAAGCTCCAAGGGACCGGCGAACAGTGGACGCGATGGGTTGGGGCCTCTGGATCGGATTGGGGGCAGGAAGGCAAGTTGAGAAGATGGGAGGGAGAAATCAGTGGTAGGATAGAGTGTGGGTTAGGCTCCAGGACTGAGGATGGGGTGAGGAACCGAACTGAGGGGCCTGGATGTAGTGATAATTTCCCTAGTCCCGCCAGAGACTCCTGGTAAGCTGGATAGGCACAGAACTATAGGATAATATGATCAGAAAGGGCCATCGAGACAGCCTTTCTCACCTTCTCTTCCCCAGCGTAATTTAGAAGAGTGTAGTGGTGTATATCCCTATGAGAAGTACAGCATTCACCTCCCCTATTCTGCCACTCCTTTGTGCCATGGGCAAATCTCTGAGCCTCAGTGCCCTTATCTGTAGTATGGGAACAGCAAGCATGCCACTGAGAACAGGGTTAAAGGGAGTCATTAAAATCGTTACTATTAGTGGGAGAGCTGGGCTGTGAATTACATTCCAGTCTTAGAGCTGTTGGTGGGAAGTTCTCTGCCCCTGGGATGTGACTGGGTTACAGGTGCTAATGAATTCGCTTCTTTCCAGTTCAGTCCCAGAGGCATTTTCTCAAAACCTGGCGCTGATCTGGGCACACGCCCCACCTCAGAAGCATGTAGGGGGCTCCCCACTGTGGATTGCAGCTAACGCTTATTGTTTTACAAAATGCCTGGCCCTGTCCTTAGCTGTTTGTACACATTATCATATAATTCTGATAACACTCCTGAGGGTAGGTGTTGTTATTTTCTTCGCTTTACAGAAAGGACGAAGAGGTACAGAGAGATTAAGCAACTTTCCCAAGGCTACCCAGCACTAATTGCTAGACTCAGGATTCGGATCTTGGCAGCCTGGCTCAGAATCTGCTTTCAACACTGTAATTTAGTCCCCTCTCCATAGTGAAATACACAATGTGATGAGTAGAAATAGAGAACAAAGCTGTCTAGAATATTAGTTCTGCCATTTACTTGCTATATGACCTTAAGAAAGTCTTTTATTTTTATTTATTTACTTTATTTATTTATTTATTTATTTTGAGACAGCGTCTCCCTTTCTCACCCAGGCTCGAGTGCAGTGGTATCTCAGCTCACTACAGCCTCTGCCTCCCAGGTGCAAGCATTCTCCTACCTCAGCCTCCCAAGAGGCTGGGATTACAGGCATGTGCCCGCTATACCTGGCTAATTTTTGTATTTTTAGTAGAGACAGGGTTTCTCCATGTTAGTCAGACTGGTCTCAAAGTCCTGACCTCAGGTGATCCACCCACCTCGGCCTCCCAAAGTGCTGGGATTACAGATGTGAGCCACCGCGCCTGGCCCTATTTCTAAAATTGTTTTTTTAGACAGGGTCTCGTTGTGTTGCCCAGACAGGCTGGAATGCATTGGCACAATCATGGCTCACTACAGCCTTCACCTCCTGGGCTCAGGTGATCCTCCCACCTCTGCCTCCCAACTAGCTGGAACTAATTTTTTATTACATGCGGTTGATTTTTTTTTGTTTGTTTTTATTTTTGTAGATATCCGGGTCTCACAATGTTGCCCAGGCTGGTCTCAAAGGGTCCTCTTGCCTCAGCCTCCAAAAGTGTTGGGATTGCAGGCATGTGCCACCACACCTGGCCCTGGCAAGTCTTTTGGCTTCTTCTCATCTATAAAATCTATAAAATGGGATCAGTAACCTTAGGAAGGTGAGAAGGTTCAGGAAGATAATGCAGTAAAGTAGAACTTAGTGAGCCCTTACTCCGATACTTAGGGAAGTGCTCAGTACATGTGAGTTTGTTGTTTTTGAATGTGGTGGGAAAGAGAAGGCAGTAGAGAGAAACCAGAGAGGGAAGATGTCAGGCTGTCTCCTTTCTTTCTCATGTCCCTGCCCTCCACCCCTGGGCTCCTAAATCCAATTACGATTCCTGGTGAGGATGCTTACAAACTCAAATCTGTGCTCGGGGCATGGTGGCTCATGCCTATAATGCCAACGCTCTGGGAGGCTGAGGCAGGCAGATGGCCCAAGGCCAGGAGTTCAATCAAGACCAGCCTGGCCAACATGGCAAACTCCCGTCTCTACTAAAACTGCAAAACTTAGCCAGGCGTGGTGGTGCATTGCCTGTAATCCCAACTACTCAGGAGGCTGCGGCATGAGAGTCTCTTGAACCCAGGAGGTGGAGGTTGCAGTGAGCCAGGACTGTGCCACTGCACTCCAGCCTGGGTGACAGAGACTCTGTCTCAAAAAAAGAGAAAAAGAAACTCACTGTGTCCTCATTCCCATTCTTGTCCCCGCCAAATACCCAGTGTGGCCTGACTCCAGGTGTTTCAGTGAATAGAAAATATTTCTAAGGCCGGGCGCGGTGGCTCAAGCCTGTAATCCCAGCACTTTGGGAGGCCGAGGCGGGTGGATCAAGAGGTCGAGAGATCGAGACCATCCTGGTCAACATGGTGAAACCTCGTCTCTACTAAAAATACAAAAAACTAGCTGGGCATGGTGGCACGTGCCTGTAATCCCAGCTACTCAGGAGGCTGAGGCAGGAGAATTGCCTGAACCCAGGAGGCGGAGGTTGCGGTGAGCCGAGATCGCGCCATTGCACTCCAGCCTGGGTAACAAGAGCGAAACTCCGTCTCAAAAAAAAAAAAAAAAAAAAAGAAAGAAAATATTTCTAGCTAGGTTTTGGTTGTCGTTAGTTTGCTTTTCTTCCTCTAATGTTTGGGTCATTAGGACCTCATTGGGCAGTTTGACAACTTTGTAAATTCACCTTGAAAGAGTTTGGTTTGTTTCCTTTGAGCTTTCTGGGCTTTTGTTCAGTGGCTGTGATACCAAGCTTATGGTTGAAAACATTAGCTTCAGATAGGCCCAGAGTAAAATCCCTGCTTCTGTTGGCTGTGTGTCCTTGGCCAAGCTGCATTCCTACTCTGGGCCTCAGTTTTCTTTTTCTTTTTCTTTTTTTTTTTTGAGACAGAGTCTCACTCTGTCCTCCAGGCTGGAGTGCAGTGTCGAAATCTCAGCTCACTGCAACCTTCACCTCCCGGGTTCAAGCGATTCTCCTGCCTTAGCCTCCTGAGTAGCTGGTATGACAGGCTTGTGCTACCACACCCAGCTAATTTTTGTATTTTTAGTAGAGTTGGGGTTTCACCGTCGTGTCCAGGCTGGTCTTGAACTCTCAACCTCTCAAAGTGCCAGGGTTATAGGTGTGAGCCACCACATCCGGTCTCTTTTTTTTTTTCTTTTTCTTTTCTTTTTTTTTTTTGAGCCAGGCTCTCATTTTGTTGCCCTGGCTGGGGTGGTCTTGGCTCACTTCAACCTCTACCTCCTGGGATCAAGGGATCCTCCTACCTCAGCCTCCTGGGTATCTGGGACTACAGGTATCTGCCACCACACCTGTTTAATTTTTGCAGAGTCAGTGTTTCACCATGTTGCCTAGGCTGGTCTTGAACTCCTGACTCAAGTGATCTACCCACCCACCTTGGCCTCCCAAAGTGCTGGGGTTACAGGCATGAGCCAAGAGGCCCAGCCGGCCTCAGTATTCTCATGTAAAAATGGGAGCACATTTAAACTCTGAGCTTCTCGTAAGGAGTTGATGTGGTAACTGATGAGGTAGCAAATATAAAATGCCTGGGGGGTATTATGCTCTCAATAAGTATGAGATATTTTTCCTATAATTTTTTTTTTTTTTTTTTTGAGATGGAGTCTTGCTCTGTCACCCAGGCTGCAGTGCAGTGGCTCGAGCTCGGCTCACTGCAACCTCTGCCTCCCAGGTTGAGGCAATTCTCCTGCCTCAGCCTTCCTAGTAGCTGGGACTACAGGCGCCTGCGACCACACCTGGCTAATTTTTGCATTTTTAGTAGAGACGTGGTTTCACTATGTTGACCAGGATGATCTCGAACTCCTGACCTTCTGATCCACCTGCTTCAGCGTCCCAAAGTGGTGAGATTACAGGCGTGAGCCACCGCGCCTAGTTTTTCTATGATTTTTATTCTTTCAAGAAAAGGTATTGAGGCTGTGCGAGGTGGCTCATGCCTACAATCCCAGCACTTCAGGAGGCCAAGGTGGGAGGCTGGGATTAACCAGGGTGGCAGGATTACTGGAACTCAGGAGTTTGAGACCAGCCTGGGCAACACAGGGAAAATTCATCTCTACAAATAAATTTGTGTTTTTTTGTTTTTTTGAGACAGCAACTCTCGCTTTGTCACCTAGGCTGGAGTACAGTGGCACCATCTCAGCTCACTGCAACCTCTGCCTCCGGGGTTCCAGCGATTCTCCTGTGTCAGCCCCCCTAGTAGCTGGGCTTACAGGTGTGCACCTCCGTTTCCTGCTAATTTTTGTGTTTTTAGTAGAGAGGAGATTTGGTCTTGTTGGCCAGGCTGGAGGTCCTGGCCTCAAGTGATCCACCCACTTCGACCTCCCAAAGTGCTGGAATTATAGATGTGATCCACTGTGCCCAACCTTGTTTTTTTGTTGTTTTGTTTTGTTTTGTTTTGTTTTGACATGGTCTTGCTCTATCGCCCAGAGTGGAGGGCAGTGGTGTGATCTTTTTTTTTTTTTTTTTTTTTTTTTTGAGACTGAGTTTCACTCTCGTGAAACAGGTGTGGTGGCAGATACCTGTAGTCCCAGA